GTGTATGATGTATAGCATGTAGACAAGAATTTCTTTCGTACTTTTTCTTCTGCTATACTTTTACATTTTTCACTTTAGTTTATTCATTCTTTTACCTTTTTAACTTCGTTTGCTGTGCGAAGTGGAACTGAAATGTTTTGGGAATTTTTGCATGCAGTTTGGCAGGTGCTGTGAGTCATTTTGAGTTACATGTGGCAAATTTGTATAGTTTTAAGACTTTAGAGACTAGAGACGCAGATTGAGAGAAGCTTTAATATAGGCTTAAGGTTTATTTAAGTTGAACTAGCTTAGTGACGATTTCCCAAATGACACAAGTCGATTACACGATCAGAAATCCAATTCCAAGCCGGCGTGACGCTAGCGGTGCTGAATTTACATCGTTGTCATGCAAGTTTGGTGCCGGATTTATATTCAATTAACCGACTTGTGCCATTCGAGTAAGGTTACATATCGGCACTACTTTTAATTCCCAAAATCAAACTAGCGATGTTCAATTTAGATTGTATGACCATGATACTTGGCCTCAACTTCCAGAACATCGACCATTAAAATAAATCGACTAAAAATGCGCTCAAAACACTTCCATCATTTCCAACTTTTCTCACAAAAAAATCTTTCCACACGTATCCAAATATACATGTTGAGTTACTACTTTTTATACTTAGCAGTCATAAAAATAGTTCCTAAGAAGAAATTTATTGATGGAACCTGCTCACTTTCTTCCTTTTTGCCTTCTTTTTCATCATCATGGCTCTTTTCCATTTGTGTCGCTGATGCTAATGAATAAATTTCCTCTTTTAGTTCAGGATAAAAGTATTGAAAGGAAGCAGAAATTAAAAGTTTTTGAAGAAGTTTGTGCTGCTTGCTTGTTCGCTCCTTTTGTTTGAATGTCTGTAATGCTTTATGAGTTTTTCTTTTGTTGCTGAAATCTTAAATGGAAATTTAATGGCAACGGAAATGAGATCGAGAAGTTTTTTGTGATGCATTTTTGTGCTGCTTGAAAAGAATATTTTTGATTGTTTGGCCATTTTTGATGAAGACAGCGAAAATGATTATTTATGGGAGGGTTGTTGAACTGTTCATTGGAACCTTTGGTTATTAAGTAAGCTATATTTATATTGTTCATAAAACTTTTGAAACTGTCCAGACGCAAGATTCGTAATCTAAGCTTGAGTTTTAGGCAAGGACGCGATACAAGGGGTCCAAATATTCTATTTTTAGAAAGCCATTATTTGTGAATGACCCCAAAAGTGTAGAACTGCTCAAAATTATCAACAATAGTTAACAAAGCTGGTCAACACGTGATTTATTCATTCCACACTTTTGAATGACTCCTTAAGACATTGAATTCACTATATCCAGGTAGAGTCTTCTCATTATTCCAACAATTTTAATTCCTCAAAACTTCAGCATCTTCTTAAAATATATTAAGGACACCCAACTGTCAAGACCAAGAAAAAAATTGCGGAAAAGCGTTAAAAAAATTTTTTAAGATCTGCGTCGAAAAAAAAAATAAATGAAAGGACAGAAGGGATTGAAGATAACAAGGAAGCACACAGAAAGCAAACGACCCAAATACATTAGCCAAATTAGAAAAATGAAATTTCATTAACGTATTATACTTATAATGTTATGCCTCATAATGAGAAATTATTTGACTTCTTCTTAATCAGATTTCCGTCCTCGTCTATTGTTTTATTGTTGCTTGTGATAGAAGACTCGGATTGGAACTTATTAGGGTTGGAAATTCAACGATTTCCTTTAATCTCTCAATCAATTTAGATTGACAGTTCCGATTGCTTTTTCGGGTGAATGAATACTGTGGATATCTTGACATGCTTGGTATTTTTAGAGATGTTTAATTTAGAATTGTTTTAAGAATAATTTTTTGAGGGTCGTTTAGCTATGTTGCTTAATATTTTTGAGGTAGAAGCTCAATTACTGTTATTTACGTGAACACATTGTGCCTGTAATGGACATGGAGGCTGAAAATACAATTTAAGATAGACATCATTAATGAATGACCCCAAAAATTAAAGTTCTGGAACATAAAATTATAATTTAATCAGACCCATACCTAAACCACCAATGTCCACATCTCGAACAAGAAAAAATTCCCATCTCTAAAATTAATTTTTAATTATGATGGAAAAGTATGTCAGAAAGGATCGAAAAGGATATGAAAAAAAAATACATTCAAACTATTGTTATGGAAATTCTTTAATGGCTTCTTTTTTTTCTTTGATCTTGTAGTGTCTCTTGACTCAGGCTATGTCAGAAAAAAGTTATGTTTTTTTTAATTCACAGAAAAAAACAATAAAAGTTTTTCAACAACCATTGTGGAAAGTTCAAAAGGAAAGTTGTTTGGATAGAGGAAGTTGCTCTTGAGCTTACTAAAATTGAAAATTATTGTTAGACGAGAATTTTTTTTAAATTATTTTAAATATATTTCAGAGGTTTTTCAAATAGAGTTGTTGATAGGAATTCTATGGGATCAAAGTATGCTATAATTGGTTTTAGAATACATCCTCCAATCCATTATTATTGGTTTTATGATTTTTCTAATCCATAATCTCCATAGTCCGGTTTTGTATGAAGAATTCAACTTGATTGAACTATATATTCAAGCTGCCCGATCAACACACATTTAAATCAATTGGCAATGACAGCCACGAAGCAAACACTTGACAGCCTCATGGTTCTAATCATACTATCAACCCGGTTGCCATGTGGCATGCATTTCAATGTGTGTCGATCGGGCCGACTTAGAATTCTAACAGCTAATCGTCAAAGTATTTAATTCCAAGTATAATGCATAAAAGCATTTCATTGTAAACCTTACAAGAATGCAAAACTAAAGCTTTTCATTGACCATTCATTTCTGTTGCAAAATATCTATCCAACTTATCTTCAAATTCATATATGAACTCACTCAATCATCAAAATCACAAATCGTTGCCATCTCAATATCACCAATCGCAACCAAAATACCAATCGGTAGTGATGAACAAATCAGGAAAGCAATTTCAACTTTGTTTCTTATTGCATTTGAAGATTTTGATGAATTTTTCTCTTTGATGGATTTAGTTTTGATGAATTTTGAAACTTTTGATTGAATTCCAGAACAATCTTAAATTGAATGTTTTTGGGTGAATATTACGCATGGTGTAGCTTCTTTAGATGTCAATAATTGCTTTAGAATTTTGAAGATTGAGTTTAGTCCATTAAAACTTACTAGATTCTTAAAAAAAATCCGGCAATTCTTACACCAAAAGCTTTACCTCCCAATCAGACAGCAATATTGAGTCCCACACTCAATAATAAAGATGAATTAAGTTTCAACGAGAAAACTTTTTGAATTGTTTCAATAAAAACTCATTCAGCAACAGCTCGATAATATCAATAAACAATTCATTGATGAAAATTGACTGGTATTGTAACTTTGTTGGAGATGTGTTGCTTTATTTGTGTTTTTACTAAGTTTCAATATGAAAATGATTTGACATTAATTAATTACAACATTTTCTTGAATGAATGATTTGCTTTGAAAGAAGCTTTAGGGTTCCTTACAATGAAAGATTTTTTTAAGCTGAAATGAGAATTTTGAATTACATTTTAAGCAGAATTTGTAATAAAATGTAAATCTCTTTGAGGAATCGAACTTATGTTCTTAATAGACAAGTTTAAGGTTTCTGTTTAATTGCCAAGCCTCCATGTTATGAGTTCTAATTATTGTACTGACATAAATGCCTTTATAAAACTCAATAATCAGATTCATCTTTGCCTTTAAGCCCACACAATAAAGACTGTTTAAAATTTAATATTCATCAATTATCTTCTTAATATTACATGAATCTTAATTTATAATACGGTAAACGTTTAATTAATCCACTCAATATTCTGTACGTTGATGATGAAATTTAATAATATGAGAATTACCTTGAAAAAAAGATTATTGAGTTGGTAGACAATTTTTGGAGCAACTGAAGCTGTGCGATTATCTGATGATAATTTTATTTTGCAAAATATTGTGACTTTTGAATCAATTTCTTAGGAATATCCTAGAAAGTTTTAGACCTTTGTTGCTCAAGAGTTTCTAATGTTCCAGCAACGTCACTCAGTCCCTCCTCCTCCAATATCTCCTTCAATTCTCTTAAATACATCCTTAATCCTTTCCTGTGTCACACACTCTCAATATTTTATATCATAATAAACATAACCCAGCATGCAGCAAGAACTGCGACAAAATTAATTCATCAACTTAACGAACTTGATAAATTATCAAATAATAAAATTTTAAGTGGTTATTATGGAACTTTATTGCGCCTTGATATCTCTCATATCCAATTTATTTCCATTTTTCTCATAAAATAAATTATTTCCCCGAATATAATTTTAATTACATTTTATCTTGCATAATCAAATAGTGTATTCATTAATTAGAATGTGAATGAGCTATTGAGATATGAGTGATATGGAATTAATATCTAGGAATTGATTATGGTATTATTATGCAAAAAATTCAGGGTTGGTGAAAGTTTGACCTATTTTTTGGGTGAAATAACATCATTGAATAACATCAAGCGGGAATCGAACCTCGCACCTCTTGATTGCCAGTCAAGTGCTCAGACCACTAAGCTATTAGGCTTTACCATTGGAAATGGACATTTGCCAATATATGTGAACCACTCTTTTTCAACTTTCTGTTCTAGAGCTTATACTGACTGATTCAGAGACAGATGTCAATACAGCACGTTAACGGCTCAGATAGATTTCGGTCAAAATTCCGATATCATACTGGAAATATGTATGAGGGGGTGTAAAGTTCTCAAAAATTATGAAAATTTCAAAATGAATTTTTTAGAACAGCATAACACGAATCATTCATTTCCAATCTAAATGTCAATATAACAACCCTGCCTAGTCCTATCCATGTCATAAAATATCAAAATTAATCAATCTAATTTTTGCTTCCATTTCTAATTTTCAGATCGACAAAGCTGCATCTTTTATCATCAAATAAATCGATATAGAATCTGTGTCGATTTATCAGCCTAATTTTTTTCGTATCACAGACCCAGTTATAGAGGCGGCATAAAGATTGGGGGTGGTGATACATAACATAGTGTGAGATGCGACGTCGTAAGCGCACGGAATTCTTCAAATTATGTGGTTTATGTTTGACGACAATAATCATCAATTTTTTATCATTAATATGTACACTAAATCAGGCTTCGGCCCTAGAATTAGAGGAGCGTATGGAAATAGTAAGAAAAGTATTACGAGAAGTGCCTTTAATAGACGGGTGAGTTGACTTTTTTTTTTGTTCTGTTTGTGATGTGAAAAAAATAAATCAAATACAGCATTAAATTATGGTCGTTCATATGGGTCACTAAACATTTCCACTCATATGTATGTACATCACACAAGCACACTTACTTTATTTGTGTATCTGAATGAGTGACTGTGTGTATAAATGTTTATTTTTCCCTCACTCTTACATGTGTTGCGGCATGAAAAAGGAACAGAAAAGCAGCAGCAGAAGCAAACAAAATTTTTTTTTCACTAGTGCTGTTCAACATTGTTACATAAAAAATATAATGTTCATAGTGTAACTTTTTCCACTATGCTGTGTAATGTGTTCAGACGTTTTGGATTATATTGAAGCTTTTAATGGATTTTTTTTTTGAGAAAATTGTTAAGGATGAAGTTTAGAGAGCTTCAAAACAATTTGTTTGAATATGTCGGTAGAGCATATTGATTGTGGCTTGCATGGATCAACGACTATTTTAAACTTTTTTGATTGGATTTTGTTGTTAGCAGGAAGTTTATGAAATTCGAGTTATTTGATGTCCGAAGCAGGAATTTGCATATTTTAAAATAAATTTAATTTTATGCTGTGAAAAGAACTGAATTGCATTTTATTGTTGACTTTTAAGTTTTGAAATTTTATTCCATGATTTTTAATCAGAGTTTGTTGCTTAGTCAATGAGACCACAATTTCCTGCTTGCTAGATTCTGACTTAATATTCTTAGTTACAATTTTGATAAGTTCTCAAATCTTTTAAATTTGTAAGGTCCTGATAATAATGTCAAAACCTTCTTTGACATGCTTTAGACCCTGAAGACACTCATAGCTTCTTCATTGGACCTCAATGATACTCTCTTAACAGCCTATCATCCAGAGTTCGAAGCCTAGTCGAGTTAACTCGAGTCAACTTGAACCCTATCGACTTCGAGCAATGCTACCATCTGCTTTCTACGCCATTAGACATCACTTTTTAAAATCTTCATTTCAAAAAGTACCAAAACACGCTTGACTCCCAACCATCCTTAAAAATGCTTTCCATTCACTTCAACCATAATAACTTCCAACCTTACCAATTGACTTTTATTGGTGCTTCGAAGAAAAGAGAAGAAAAATCAGTCAATTCGTTACATATTATATTAGAGACCCTCAACAAAAGCACCAAAAAAAGAAGAACTCTAAACACACAGTCAGACATTCACAACAACAAAAAACACTGTCGACAGCGAAAACGAAGAATGAAGAAAAAAATTTAAATCATGGGTTGATTTAACTCAATCACTGCGATTTTCATGCTTATGTGCTCTCCGCATTTTTCACATGAGAGGATTTTGTTTCCGTTTCTTTTCTTCCCTAAATTTCAAAATTGACTCCTTTTATTCTGAGGTCGATGGATGAGGCAAGTGAATCATTGTGGATGGAAGAAGAATGAGAGAATAAAAGAAAGGCAAGAAAAGTCAATTTTTATTGTGCTTACAGAATTATTTTTTTTTTCGAAGGAAAGTTGGGAAGTGCAGTTGGTTAAAGCGCATTTATTGGGAGACTTGATTATTTTCTCCAAATGGACTTCAAGTTTGAAGGGCCTAAAGGGTCTAATCCCTGGCTTGGTTCATAAATCCAATTGGAATCTAAAGAGTCATAGGGATCGACCCCTTACATCTCAAAAATTAATGCGCCAACCTAGTCAACCTAGTCCCCAATCATCTCCACAGCATGACATTCCAAAAAACTAGCATCAATAAAAAATCGAAATAAAAAGAAATAAATGAAAGCAAGGAAGTAAGGTAGACGATAATGGATGAATGTCTGTTGTTGATTTACCAAAATGAAAGGAAGCATTGATGCTGAAATACTTACTTACTTACCAACTTATTAACTTTGCAATGAAATAAAAAGAGAAAATAACAAAGAATTCGATAGAAAAAAAAATAAAAAAATGTACAGCAAGTAAAATTGATATTGATTAAGGAAAAGGATTATGAGATTGAGAATTGAAATTTTCTTTCTACTTTTCGATTCGTTTTATTCGAGACACGAGGATTTACAGTTTCTATGCTGCTTCAGTAAAATTAAATTTAAAGGTTGACTGAAACAAAACGAGAATCTAGTGAAAAGTTTGTTGCTGGTTCAGTGGAAACAAAATAAAGATACAAATTTTATTTAATAGAAATGTCTTCAAATACAGCACTAGAAGTAGGATATCTTCAAGCTCTTGTATAATAATATTAAGTTTTTTTTTATCTGGATTTTTTCGATATGCTCAACAATCTTGTTTTGCTGTTTGCGACTTTTTATTTCTGAAAGCTTTTCGGAATTGTATTTTAGAATTGGCCAAGACGTAAATGTCATATTCTTAAGGTTCATTATGAAATTTTATGTTATTTACACTCAACTTGCCTTTATAATGAATTAAAAATTGCAAAAATATAGTCTAATTCATTTGAAATTATGTGAAATTATTCAGGGGTCGTTCACTTATAACGTCTGAAATTAACGGTCATATTTCAAAAAAAAACAATGGATTTCCAAAAATTTCTATTTTTCTTTTCTTGCTTACCCCCCTTGGACGTCATAATTAAATGGCCTCTTAAGAATCGTTAGTAAAAATCGTAACACCAAACGCGACCATTTAGACTTTCCACATCCTACCTAATCTCTCCCCACGCCATGGACCCCCCCTTATACTCTAAACTTCTGTCATCCTTTTCATGATTCCACAAAATCTTTATTGAATTTGACATTTACCTTTATCTGATAATCTGTTTTCCACACAAATAGCATTCAAACTTCAGAATGTGTAAACAATTCCAAACCTCAGCTTGATCCTTAAATCACTTTCGCTTACAACGATCACAAAGGATGTCTTCTACGTGAATTACAGACACGTGTATAATGTTGGAGAAAAATATCAAATCCTTTCTTAGAAAAGCTTCTGCAAGAATGAGATTTGATGGGGGGATAAAAAATTTCGGCTCGTCAGCATGTGAATGTTTAAGGATAGGAAGTTTTCTGCATGAACTTTAATATGATAAGAAGTAGAAAGCTGTGTGGATGATGGATAAGGATGAATTTATTGATTTTTTTGTGTTTGAGATGGAATGTTTTGAGTTGTGCTGTTTTACGAGGAACTTTATGGATGGTATTGATATTATTTCATACTCAGAAGTAGAATACAGTATATTGGAAAGGAATATGTGCTTAGGCACTGTTATATGACCTAATTAGTGATGGAGCTTTGAATTTTGGCTCTTGTGACGTTAGTTTACTCTTTAGTGGTTTAATTTTGGTCTGTTTGCAGCCTAAACTGTTACATGTGTAATCGCAGTTGATGTCAAACTCAAATTCTTATCGTCTAGACCTAATATATGCCATATAACGAGACTATCCAAAAATGTTACACGTGCCAATTAGAAAGTCAAAAATATTTCGATTTCTTCATCACAGGATTAAACTGAACAACATCCAAAATAAAAATTCCAAAAATTCAAAATTTCGGTAAGTAACTTCCTCAAACTTCTCAAATCATTTCCTCTAAACAACATCAACAACAGCGATAACAACAAGAAAATCTTCATAACAAAAGCAAATCCCTTTTTTAAGATCAAATGTTAATCCAAGCATTGAGAAAATGTAATGTAGAAGTTATAATAATAACTTTATGTCGCTCGAGTAATGCCAATACGAGCAAGCAACTTAAAATGGGGGAAAAAGAAGAATAAAAAAATTTATTTGTTAAATTTTCATAAAAGTGATTGTGTAGGAATGTAAAAACATCGTCACATATAAAATGCTGTAAAAACAAAACAACACTATGAACAAAAGCATTATTTACAAATAACTAAATTCATAAGTAACAGAAAAATGGAAAATAAGAATCGCTTAAAGGCATGGAAACGAGTTTAAAGTTTAATGGAATTTGAGGAGAAATGATTCTTGTGTGTTTTGTGTGATGAAGTTGTTTTTGCTGACTTCTATTTGACAATGCATTAAAAGGAGTTTTACAATGAACAATAGGCGTTAGTGGATCAGAAGCACTTTAGTCTTTAACATTCGCGTAGCACGGAGAGGATTTGGTCGACAAATCTTTCATTTTGCTAGGGTTTTTATGAAAAAATACACCCCCCCCCCTTAATATTTTATATAAAACACTTTTTGCCTTTCCCCCTCCCCCCTCTTCGTCTTCAAATTCCTGTTTACGTCCCTGATCCAAAAGTATTGTACACTTACTACTTTCAGGCTTAGGCTGCTTTAAAATCTATTTTTTGAATTTATCTTTTAAAAATCTATTTTTAATTTTCATGAATTTTTCCCGAAAGCATGACAAATTCTTTCCTTAATTAGGCTTACTTCTAGCTCAATTAAATCTCTTTTTCTGAAAATAAATATCACTCCATCCATCAAACTAAACTTAATTCCTCATCACTCTTAGTCCACCCACAACAATTTCAAACTAATTGAATCGTTCCTGATATCCATGTAATGTTCTACTCAGGGGCGTAGATTTGAAGGGGGGGGGGGGGGTGGCAAAAAAATGTATATGGAAAATTCAGAGGGAAGGGGGAAACTTTTATGATTTTTTCATAAAACTCCTAGCAAAATGAAGAAATTCCTGGTAACGTCGGGGCATTTGTCCCCCCATCCTCCCCTGGTTACGTGCCTGGTTCTACTGAATCCATTTTCGGAAGTAGGTGTATCAAATTACACGTGAATTTCGATTTTATTTATTTCTCCAACGACCAAAAAATATATAAAGCTCATTAGCATTATGTTTCAACTTAATAGCGTCACATAAAAGTCGTGGTAACAAAATAAAGCAATTTCAATAAATCAAGTATGATTTTTTTTTTGCTCGTCTATAACTTGAAATTTAAACATAAAAATGCTTATGCTTATTCTTTTCATTGAACCATACATAATCTAGTAAAGTATGCAATAACATCACATAAAAATCACATCAATTCTCATAATTCATATTTTTTATGGGAATTTATACAATACTAAGTTATGGAGAGACTTAAAACTACATAAAAATTTTGCTGGCAATTGTATTTACTTGAATGACGCTCCCTGGAGGAGATGTTGCGTGGATTTTGAGGATTTATTGGTTGTTGATCACATTTATAGACTCAGATTCAAAGGATGTTGGTAATACACAGTTATAATTCAGTAATTTCGTGATCCTGTCCTTATTTTAACACAAACTCAACCAATTCTTAGTCTATAAATCCACAGACCCTGACAAAATTACCACAAATACCTCACTTATTCTTCCCATTCAAGTACATAACCCTCCCGAAAAAAAAAATACACAAAACATCTTAGAAAGCTGAAAACATCAGTATTAGGAAGTTAAAAGTAAAGTGCTAAGGAAAATAAATAAACCAATAAATATCTTTTCACTTCCTTTTCCCTGTACCTTCTTCGAGACAAATTATTCTCATTTTATGACTTTTTCTTCCTCTATTAAACATTCTCACTTCCCTTACGCTCCGTTGATGCTGTATTTGAATGTCTTTTTCACTTATTGCCTTCCTGTCTTGTTGTCTACTTATGCACAGCCTCACTTGCTAATGATATTTTTTTTCCTATTTTTCTCGTTAACAGTCACAACGACTTGCCATGGAACATAAGAAAATTTTCAAAAAATCAACTTCGAGAGTTTCGATTTGGCGAGGATCTACGCTTAATATCTCCGTGGTCGACGAGTCCATGGTCACACACAGACTTGCGGCGACTGAAAGAAGGCATGGTATCAGCTCAAGTAAGTATTATGACTTGAAAGAAATTCATTACAAATTAAAATTTATCGCCTATGGAATGTCGTTAATGTTTCCGGTCTATCTCCTCAATCCAGTTTGCTCGACTTTGTTGAGTTGGAGATTTTATATAGTTCATGCAAGGGATGGTGACCTGAGGGCAAGGATTTAGAGCAGTTGAGTTTTTAAGAGGCATCAATCGATGGCATTCTTAAGGAAAATTAAGCATAATTGGAAGTCCTGAAACCCCCGTCTCCTTGTGCTTCAAAAAATTAGACTCCTTAAAATGATGAACGTCATAAATTAATTTCCTAATAAAGGTTGACATCGACATCCGTAATCTCACAAGGTTCCATACAGATCAGGAGAATTAAAACAATTTCAGAAGTATCTTGAGCACATCATCAAATTCCCATCCCTATATAATCCCCACATTATCCATAAATAGAGCAAAAGATGGGATATAAAAATGAGACATTCAGATATCATTATGCAGTAAAAAAACATGAAGAAATTGTGCTTTTTGCGCGCTACAGCGACAATGACTGTTTTTTTGCTGATGTTGATGATGCTGATGAGGAAACGAGGAAGAAGAAGGATGATGTACCCTTGCTTATGTTATTGGAATGTTCTAGCAGTAAAAAATCGCATTCTTACTTCCTCTGCTCGTCTGAAATTGAATGTCGTCCATAAAAGATATGTACAATAATAATAATAAAAAAATGCTATTGAGCGGTATCATGCAGCGCGAAGAGGCACTTATCAATGTGTTGTGCTCTCTCGTCTACTCAATATTTATGGACCACTTTCTATCATCCATATGATGTGAATTAGGGGTTGCAAGCTGCTTTGTATTTATAGATAAATTTTTCTCGTTTTCGGGTAGGAAATTTGATCTTTTTGACATGACATTCTAAAAGTATTCAGGAACCTCCAACATGATATATGATATATCAATTTTATCCTACTTTGCTATTATTCACTCCATCCTCCTTTGCGCATCAACAATATAATCAAACAATATTCTTTGTTTTGTATTGAATGTCACATCAGTTCCTGTATAACATTAACAGCAGCATAAATATTGTATGGAATAAATGGAAGATTCATCATATAATAGCCATCAATAAATGATCAGCATTCCTCCCCTCGTGACTGTCATTCATTCATATATTTATTCATTTTCGTCATACTTGAAATTCACATTTGATGATGTGTGGATGGGGAGGGGGTCCTTGTGAAAATTTTTGGTGGAATTTATGGAGGCTATTGTGATTATTTGGGGATGTTCTGAATTTTTCAATATCCAATTCCTTTTAAATACAGAAAAAAGGCTTTATGTGGTATTAAAGCTATTTAAGCACTTAATTTGCCATATTTTGGGTACATTTTCTTTTACAAGAGACTATGACCAGGATATACCTTAGAAATCAGCCTTAGATAGTCAAATTGATTCTGTCAGTTCTCACATTGAGTCAAATCTTTGGCATAGACTTGTCTGTCAAAATCATCATGATACCTAAAATAACCCAAAGGACATTCCCCAAACCAAACAATGTCTGTCTCATTTTCATCATAAAGTATTTTATAAATAATTTGACTTTGTGAGTCGCATCAAACAATTGCCATTATTTTCTCTTCTCTGTTTTTTCGTGTGTGCTCTTCCGGAAGGCAATAGAAAACACATCAAAAAGAGATACAATCACATTTTAGCAATTTTTATATGAGACAATTTTTTGCAGCATACAGCATATATGAATATTATAGTAAAAAGCTCATGATGAGCATATAGAAGTGAGGGGAGGAAGATCCAAATAGCGGAAAATGAGATTCGATGCGTTTCTATTATTGGGAGATGATATATTGAGATTGGAGGGGGTACTTGGGGGGTCATAGACTGTTCTTTGGATTTGTACTAGCTGGATTCAGTGCAAGTCTCGAAATTTTCAATAAATCTTGATTTTCTCATGTTTTTTTTTAATTAATAAGGTTAATTCCAAAAATGCGCTTCTTACATAATTAACTCTGGTAATTTTCTTACTTGTTTCCCAAAAATGATACCCAAATTTAAATTCAAAACCTAATAATAAATCAATCAAACTTTGATGATATTTTTCACCGCACAAAGTTCATTCATTGATGATTTCACATTTTAACGAGCTGTTGTTTATTATTATTCGGGTGATAGATGAGGCAAAAAGTAATTAAAAACATTGTTTTTTTATCTATAACGAAACAAATGACAATGTTGATAAAAATTCTCAATTTTATCATCAAAAACTATCATTTTAAAATCCCTTTGGGAAATCAATTTTTCAGTCAAACTCGACACAATTAAACAAAAAGCTTTTAAGGAAGCTTATCAGCTAGGATTTCAAATACAAATAGTTTTTTATTGTCATTTTTTTTATTGACTTTATTCAGAAAAGTTTATGTCAGAATATAAAGCAGATATGATGATGATGATGTTTTGATACTTTTATAGACATTGTCTCTGCTCTTGTTATTGTGATTGTTGTGGGGCAAAGTGGCTAGCTCATCTCTCTGTGGGAAAATATTATTGCAGATATGGATAGATGTTGGAAAAATATTATTATTTCAAGGATTGAAGCTTTAAAGAAAATATTTGAAAATTCAAAAAATTTTAAAATTAAAAATTTAAAAAATTTCAAAATTTGAAAACTTCAAAATTTAAATAATTTGAAAATTCAAATAATTAAATCTCATGTTTTTGAAATGCGAAAAATTAAAAAATTTGAAAAAAATTTAAGTTTCAAAATTGTCCATTAAATAAATTAATTACCATCCCTTGAACTCAATCCAATGACACTATAAAAATAAACCCCATAAAAAGCTATCAAAATTTTTACGACTATCTATCATAAAATTTTAGCTTAATTAATTTTCTCATAATCAGTCTTTAGTACCATGATAATCCACATTTATATCCTCACAATATATCCCACACCTTGATTGAAACAAAACCAATCAAAATTCTCAAAAAAAAAACTGCCCAGAAAACTGCAAAAACAAGTTTCAAATAGCTTGATAGGAAAAATATGGAAAGTCAATAAAGAAATTCGAATAGTTTAAGACTAAGAAAATCAGCAGATTCTATTTTATCGACTCACAGACTTTCCTTTTCTCCATGATCGTAAAATTTTGTCATTATGGCTCATTTTTTTGCCATAAAATAAAATATTTATTTTGAATACCTCACTCTGGTTCCTTGTGACTATGTTTGTCTTGCATTCTATTCCAACATTTATGCTTGTATATCCAACTGTCGATGGAAAAATCGAAAAAGAGAAGAAAAAGTCATTTTATAAAATAAATTTATTGCAATGAAAATTGAGTTTGGAACTAATGATGGAGTTTTGAATGTTTAGAGCGAATTTAATGATTTTAAAAGCATTTATTAAGTTTTAACGCTGTTAAATGCTTCCAATCTGTTCCAATCAATTACCATTAGTTTATAGATTTGTAGTTTTGGATTATAAGTTGTCATAAACCGTAATGGCTTATTGGTTAAAATCTTTGATACTTCAATACTGCACGACAACATATTGATCATAGGTTCGAGTCCTAGTAATGCAACATAATATTTTTATTGATTAAACAAACTAGAAATTGACCTTAAAGCTTTCGGTTGTAGAATACAGACATTACTTGTCAATAAATAGTTGGTTTTGAATTTTGTACTTATGTATAGACCTAGATTTAAAAGATTTCTAAGTCTAAGAAACTTATACTCACTGAACTTTCAAAAAAAATGGACCACACGCCAGTGTAGCTGTGGATACAAGTCGATTTGAACCGATGTCGAGGGTACGGTTTGGATTATCCACTAGAAACCTCTGAGAACCTTACTCCACATTTTTACAAATAAAACTCCAGCCAGTCCGACAGAGCACCTCAAACACAATTTCTTTGTTCAGCCTCACCACAAAATCCATCCTCAATATGCGGTTGAAAGAAGCCCTTCAATAAAAAGTGAGAGAATAGAAATAGAAGAAATTTTATTTTACTATTGTCTCATCTCTTATAGCAGCAAAAAAGAGAAATCCATTAAGATCAAAGTGCTTCGATTTCTCTCCAGTACTCGAGGATATAGAAAAATAATACAAGTCGGTCGGGAAATTCAATAACATTATTGTCATTTCATAAAATCTCATCGTTCCTATTATATTCTATTTTCCTCTTTTCTTTCTTCCAGTTTTGGTCTGCCTATGCACCATGTTCGTCCCAACATCTCGATGCTGTACAGCTAACATTAGAACAAATAGATTTAATTCGACGATTAGTTCTTCTATATCCACAACATATGTCCCTCGTAACGACAGCTGATGCTATTGAAGAGAGTCATAGGAAAGGACGATTAGCTAGTCTAATAGGTATAGAAGGTGGACATAGTATAGGGACATCATTAGCCGTTTTAAGAATGTTTTATGCGCTCGGTGCACGATATCTGACGCTAACGCACACATGTAATACTCCATGGGCTGGTAAGTTACAATGAACTTTAGTTTTTTTATGGATAGAATAATTTTATTTGTGTTGTGTCTGACTTGAGCATTAAGAGACATGAAAGTTTGTAGATATGAGCAGTAATGGAGTTGTTTATCAATGATGTCTATTACTGTAGGTCATCTTCATTAATCGCTTTGTGTCATAGTAAAGTAGATACTTAATCAAGAAGAAAACAGCATGATGGGAATTTTCATCAAATTCGTTTCTCATCATGCTGTTATCCCCTTGAGCCTTTCTAATACCCTTATGGTGTTTTACCTTAATTTTAAAAAAACTTTACTGTAGATACACTCCACAGAATATCATAAAGCTGCATACCCCCTATTAAACTTCAGACTATTAGACATCACATGTGAATAACCCCCAATATACAGTCCACAAAAGCTATTGTCCTCTCTATATCCTCATCATTCCGTGCTTTAATAGTTTTATATATCACAAATAGTTGCTTCATAAATGATAATGGCAATGCCAACCGTCAAACATACAAACACAAAACCCCAAAGCAGAAGAAGCTTTAACAAAAAACTTTAATTTTGGAACTTTAAGTTTGGAAAAAGTTTTCCTTTCATTCTTCAACTTTTGCTTACCTTATCTCAAGTTTTGGAGCACAAAAACCCTTTTTTTTTGTGCAAATAAAAAGTATACGAGAAAGTCAGGGAATCGGAATGAAAAGAAATATGAATTTGATGTTTTTGGAGTTACTTAGCTGATGAGGATTAAAGGAGCTTTAAAATTTGTTCAACTGAAAGTTTTTCGATGACTTTTTAAGTCGATAATTGGGGTTGTTGGGATGGAAAAATTTTTAAAAATTTCTCAAGGTGCTCTCGATACTCCGAGTAATTCTAATGCCAATTCCAATTACATTTAGTAAACTTTTGATTGTGTAATCTACACCAACATCCCTCCAGGTACACAAATTTATTTTTTTCTCAGAATTCTACAAACTCATTTCATCGTCAATTTAAGGCACACTTAGAAAGTATTCCAAAAATGTTTATATTAGCTTCGGGATCGTTTATAAATGACATCCATATCACTGCACCCCTTTAAAATTATAATGATTCATTTCTATCGAAATTTCACACCTCTTCTCATCTTTAGCTTTCAGTTTGACATCATTTATGAATGAGCCCTTCAGAAAATTTCTAAAAAAATATTTACTTAGTCATTCAATCCGTTTCTTGTCTTCTTACAATTTTTTGTGGAAATTCCCACTTCTCACTGCCTCATGAAACAATATACATAATAATAACAACTTATAATTTTCAAGTCTCTTTCTCTCTGGTGTACGAATGTTGATCTCAATGAAAGTTTCATGATGAAAATTTATGCAAATAAAGAATGATTTTTTAGAGGGGAGCATAAAAATGAAAGACAAACTTAAGCGGGTCGGGCGAGTCATGAGGAAAATGAGAAATAATTTTTGGATATGCTGTAATGTGATGAGAATTTTCGTCAGGATTTTTAGAATTTTTCTTCAATATTATGTTGGGAATATATAAGATTCAACTTTGACAAAACCTATAATTTCCAGGAGGACTTTTGAGTATATTAATAGTTGCTAATGATTCAAGATAACCTCATTAACCAATTAGTAATAGTCTCTGACTTTAAAATCATCTTTGATTCAAAATCGAGTTCAAATCCTATCAAATAAGTTCAAATCCTACTTTTCTGTCATATGGAGCATTGAGCCTCAAATTTAATATCAAATCAAACTTAACTTGAATATTTGTAGTGTAAAATTGGTATTGTTATAAGATATGCTCCAAAACTGACCGAATTAAATGATAAAAGTACCAAAATTATTCAATGAATATCCACACTTTCTAACAAAACCTCCCACAAGGACACCGGCAATTTCATTCAGTTCAAAATAAATATTTTCACTCAGCAAATATACTCGAGTTAAATCATTGAGGGGCGAAAGAGAAATTACTTTTTGTACCCATTCAATTAAACAATGTAAATTACTGTTCCTTAAAAAAAGACAATTTGCACACGAGCGAGCATTGAATTTCAGGTTGAACTTTAACTTATAATTATACAAAAATATGGATATATTTTGCGAAAGATAAGCACAATGAGGAGTTAAAGGGAAATTAATTTTAGGGGTGCAGATTTGATGTAGCAGAAGTTTTTAAAGGATTTAAAGAATGCTTATTGTAATATTAGTAGCCATGTCCTCCCGACAATGTAAAGCTGTCCTTTACCCAAGCTGCCCAAAAACTGCACGGCAACCTAGTTGATGAATATGATTTACTAAACGAATAATTTCATCAATATTGAACCATTTTCTCAAAAAATCAATCTCAAATTCTCATCAGCTTTCTTACTGCAGTTAATAGCTTTTCCACAGTAAAAAAGTCTCCTCAACCCTGAAAACTTCATTAACTTCTTGCTTCCAATCATGTCACAACTTCATGACCCCGATTCTCATGTTCTTCATCTTTTTCCAATTACAGATTGCTGTAAAGTCGATGAGCCAGGACAAGTGCCGCATATTGGAGGACTTTCACATTTCGGAACGGTAAGAAGAACTAGTGCACATCGAATGTGACAATTTAATTCCACATGTATTTCGAGTAGTAGTTGAAAAAAAAAATGGGATGAACTTCAATTTATTTCTAATTACAGCTCGTCGTTGCCGAAATGAATCGACTTGGGATGATTGTCGATTTGTCTCATGTATCCGTTCCAACGATGCTCGATGCTCTTGCAACATCGAAAGCTCCAATTATCTTTTCACATTCTTCAGCGCACGCTATTTGCAATTCATCGAGAAATGTGCCAGATCATGTGCTGAAGCGAATTGTAAGAGTTCTTTTTTTTTCGTGGCTTTGGAGGTGGTCAGGGTTGGAACATTCGGGGAATCTTGAGTTGAGGTAGCAAACTATTAAGCTAAGGACATGGTTTTTAGCTTACTTTGATTGTGGAAGTGCCTGGAATCCGGTTTTTAGGACTACTATTGCTTCCCAACAATTGTCAGATGATTCTAAGGTTGAGTCCTATGAAAAACCTTAGCAACCGACTCTTAGACACACTACAGGATCAAATCTAAAGCAATAAGACTCAACATCCAATTTTCCAACCCCGACCACCTCAATACATGCTGTATCACATCTTATCCATTAAAATTTTCTCAACAATTTAACTTTTTTCTTCCTTTGTTCTTCATCCACATCCTGAATTCAATCCATTAAATCTTCAAACTCGTCAAGGCTGTAAATCAAGGACTTGTTATGGTTGCATTCTATCCACACTTCATTAGTTGCGGTGAGAAAGCCACACTTAAAGATGTTGTCGGTAAGTTCCATTTCCATTTGCTAATTATCTTTAAAATTTACATTCAATTGAGTAAAAAAAAAAGAACTAGAAGAGTCAATTATAAAGTTCATTTTAATGATGACCTGAATTTGTCATTTATGATTCCTTGAGTGGATGCTGAAAGATGAAGGAATATGACAAACTTTTCATGAAAGTGTCATTCAACTTTTCCTTTTGTTCTTCGTGAGAATGAGAAAATGCTGTTGTGGTTGTGCTGACTTTAAGTTATAGCAAACTCAAAAATATTTTTTGATCAGCAAATGCCACAAAATTCCAGAAAAATACCTCAGCTCTATCATCCTGATAAGTTTCACATTAGACAAACTTTTTGATAAATTTGCAACACCATCCTCAGCCAATATGTCAGATCCCATAACAACACTAATGAAAATGCACACACATGAAACTTTCTAATTGACTAATCACAACTTCCACTTCTACTTTACGTTCCTACATTTTATTGTATTGTGTTCATATTTTTGTTTTTCAATTTTCTGGATGTTATGCTTAATTGAAAGTAACATATAATTGTGTGTATATGTCGTACATACCAAGAAACTATTATGTACACGTGCTAAAGCCATTACATCCATTGCTTCCAACCACTTGGAAATAAAAGTTGTTTTTTTCTTCTTCTTGCCAGCTTCATAAATGTTTTAAATGTTATCACTTGAGAATAAATGCTGGAGGAAATAGAAGAAATAGATGCGAGTTGTCCAATTGATATGATTTTGTTCTCAATTTTCTAGACAATTTAGTTGAGAATTCGAGCTTTCTTTAATATTTTTCGAGCTGTTTGTTATGAATTTGGGATTATTAATAAAATTGAGGGCTTTTTGAACTTTTGGAAAGCTTTTTGAATTTTTATAAAACTATTTGAACTTCTAGAAAGCTTTCTAAACTTTTGAAAAGCTTTTTAGAACTGATGGAACATTGTTTGAACTTCTGGAAAGCTTTTTGGACTTTTCGAAAGCTTTTTGGACTTTTCGAAAGCTTTTTGGAATTTTCGAAAGCTTTTTGAAATCGTGGAAAGCTTTATGGAACTGTTGGAAAGCTTTTTGAACGTTTGAAAACTTTTTGAACTTTTGGGAAGTATTTTGAACTTTTGGAAAGCTTTTTGGACTTTTTGAAAGCTTTTTTAACTTTTGGAAAGCTTTCTAAAAATTTTTTAAATTTGTTTGAACTTTTGGAAAGCTTTTTGGAACTGCTAGAAAGGTTTTTAAACTTTTTGTAAGCTTTCTGGACTTTTAGAAAGCTTTTTAAAACCGTGGAAAGCTTTATGGAAAAGTTGGAAAGCTTTTTGAACGTTTGGAAACTTTTTGAACTTTTGGGAAGTATTTTGAACTTTTGGGAAGTATTTTGAACTTTTGGAAAGCTTTTTGAACTTTTTGAAAACTTTTTGAGCTTTTGGGAAGTGTTTCGAAATTTAAAAATTGAATTGAAGGTATCACTTTGAATTTTTTTGAAAAGCTTTTTTCTGTAGAGCTTTTGGGGATATTTTGTAAGACTTTTGCTTTTTTGCAATCTCTTTGCTAGAATTTTTCACTAGTCTTATTAATCTTACTAGTATTTTTAAAATTTTTTTGAAAAATATTACTGCTATTGCTCAACTTCATTGTTCCATGCATGCCAATAGCTAAACAAGACCCCCTTAGCAACTCCTTTTAGATAATAAATGACCCAGCAAAACTTCACAATTCCTACCACCTCATAAACTATTTCCTGAAGCATTCAACTCTCAAACAAAAACACATATAGCAAAATAGTGGCAAATAGTGGCAAATAGTTTCTCAAGCTCTGCATTGTAATTGTCGCAACTAAAGCACCGAAAGAAGTAGAAATGAAATAAAATAAAAAATAAAAACTTTATACACTTGCTGTTTGTTTTTGTAAGTGTCGGTAAAAATGTTTATTGTTTCATTTATTGTGAAATGTGCTAGTTTTTATCGTAATTACCTATGTTCATTAATGGTTGGAAGGGAAGTGGAAATTGCTTGATAGCTTGCTAGTTTTATTGCGACACAGAAAGGATATGAGAAAGTTTTTATGATGAGGGTAATAAATAATAGAATTTTTTTTTTCGTGGGGTCGTGAGCTGTTTTATTAATTTTTGTGCATTTATTTCTTGGAAAATAAATTGAAAGTGAGATTTTTTTGTCTTTAAGTCGAAACTAGTCTGATGCTGGTTATTACATCTTTAGCAACCATAGCATTCTAGTTGCTGGATGATTGATATAACCTTTATAAAATCTGGAGTCCTGTTTTAGAAAGGCATGGGTTCGAGTCCAACCTTTGTAAACTTTGTTTCGCAACAATAAATGCGATTGAATGATTTCACAGCGATAGCTTCAAATAAAACCTTAAAAGTTGACAAAATTCAGTAACATTGATTGCTAATCAAGAGCTTGTCCACGCGAAATCATCAAAAATAAAATTCAATACCCAAATAACTCAACCAAAATCTATCCCAAATCACATCATGTGCAAAACTTTCCACAAATTCTAATTAAAAAATCTTTGATTGCTCAAAACTAATCAGCTGCGTAATTATTGTAATGAAAAATTCCACGAAAGGTTTTGGTAAAGGGTCGATGTTACAGCATCTAACCATTCATAATTAATCTGTACATGAAGCCTTTCGATAAATATTTTCAATATAATTTTATCCTTTGTTTTAATCTTTAGAATTTTACGTCCAGCGCGTGTTGAGCTTTGAATTAATCGGATATCAAAGATTTTTTAATAAAACTTCCATAAAGCATGTCAATAAGACGAGGCAGTTTGGCTAAGAGCTATTGAACCTCTCTCAATTCTAATCGAGCATGTCACAATCATTTGTTTCGGTTTTAGGAGAAGGAATTCAAAGAATGTTTTTTGTATAAAAATCGGTCGCAAAAGAATTCCTAGAAGTAAGTGACAAAAGCTATTGGCAACAGTTGACCTTTGTTTTACAATTAAATGTTAAAAAATGTTCGTGAAAGTGAAGGAAAATTTAATTTGAAGTTAAAACCAATCAAATAATTTGTAAGATTTCAGAGAAACTTGATATTTTTACAGACAATGGGATCATTTCGGTTGTTTTTGTTTTCCATTCAACTTCTGTTGATGTTTGCAATTCTTTGTTAAATTTGGGATCTAATTAGAGTAGATAATTAATACAAATCAATGAATATGAATCGAAAGTTTCAAGCCCCGCGCACAAAAACGTGGAAAATTTTTCATTAAATTAATTAAAGTGTCCAAGTCGTTATTAGTTGAAAAAACCTTAGTAAGAGTGCCAAGGGTTGTGTTTTCCTCAAGGACAATGAGGAAAGCCAAAAGAAAGCAAGATTTGTCGCCAAAAATTGATTTGGACGAAAGTTCAATCAAATCTAATGAAAATTCCAAGAAGAGGAAGCAAACGCCTCAGAAAGAGGAATCATCGGTTCCAGTCACAACAACAACTTCAGTCAAGCCAATATTTGTGCAATGCAGTCTCAAGGATGTGAGAAAATTAATTTCACTATTGAAATTGCAGGTTATGCCTGCATATAAAATTTCATCATCAAATACAACTCAAGTAATTGTCAAGTCTATTGAGGATAAGGCCTCAATAATAAACCTTCTGCGGTCTCAAACTATTCAATTCCACACCTTCTCCGAGAAATCGGAGAAAACAAAGTCATTCGTTTTGAAAGGATTTTACGAAACACCAACGAATGAAGTACTAAGATTACTTCAAGAAGCCAAGGTTTCAGCTGTCAAAGTGACAATTCTCGTCAAGAAGCCCGAGTTCACCTTTTATCTTGTGCATTTTCAAGATGAAAGTGTGAACATCAACGTGCTCAATCATAACCACCGTAACATCGACAACATCATCGTCAAGTGGGAGAACATCAAGAAGGGCAACAAAAGCCCAACGCAGTGCTTCAACTGCCAACGTTGGGGTCACTCATCTCAAAATTGTGGATATAAATTCCGATGCGTCAAGTGCACGGAAGTTCACGGACCAAATCAATGTCAACGATCCACTCGTGATGGAAATGCCAAGTGCATTAATTGCAATGGCGATCATGCTGCCAGTTATAGACTGTGCCCATCGTTCATTTCGTATTCCAAAAGAATCGAAAAGTCAAGAGCCAAACCACAACTCAAAATGCTGCCACAGATATCAAGTCTTTTGGACAGTAACAATTTTCCATCGTTAAGCAAACGACATCAAGTTTCTGCTCATTCACATCCAGTGAATGCTGCAAGTAACTCATCAGCAACATTTAAAGAAGAGATTAATCAGCAACAACTGATCAATAATATCAGTTATGCAGAGAAACTCAACGAAGCAGTAAAGAATGAAAGCCTTTTCAAGAAATTCACAGAAGCTCAAGAACGTCTAAAGAGAATCCCCAACATTGAAGAAGCAATAAATCAGTTCTGCAGTTTCGTCGACGAAGCCGGAAAGATCCCAAAGGATGCACCTCAAGGAACTGCATTTAAAATCATGGTGAAGTATGGCTTCATGAGCTGCCCACCAGCACCGAACAAGCCAGTTCAAAAATAATTTATTAACGTAGTTCATAAGCTTAAAAAAAAAGCTTTTTTTTTTTTTTTTCTCGCTCGGCAACTTTTTTTAAACTTTTTATGCCACATTTTCATGATATATGTAAATCTCATTCATCAAAATTAATAATTAATCAAGATATAGTTGAATTAAAGCCATATTCAGGCTGGTGTCAAAATAAGACTCAAAGAAATGTAACTTAAACTACAATAATTCCAAATTTGAAATAAAGAAAGACTTGTTCAATGAATATGCATTTGCTCCGAGCTAAAGAATCTAATTAGACTTCCTTTGTATCAAATTAATAATGATTTGATGAGAAATCAACATTCAAAGTTGTCAGGTGGGATGTCCGGAAGAAAAATACAAATTTAATCCAACGTCAGTAATGGATGTTGCTAATTAAGTTAAAATAATGAATATTATTATGTTAGTGTCCAATTTTAATAAAGTTTGATATAAACCATTAAGTTTATCAGTTGTAGAGCATAAAAATGGTCGATTTTTTAAGGACTAGCTTGGATCCCCCATCCTTGAAATTTGAAATTTTTGTACTCCATTCCGGGCATCAATCCTAGTAAATACAAAATTTTATTTGGGAACTGAATAGTAAAAAACCGAATCTAATAGTCACCAAAAGCAATCGATGGTCTAAGACCTATTCTTTGTCATTAGGGTTCTTTAAAAAATTTAATATCTTAAGGAACATCACAAAATATAATCAAACTAATTCACAAATCATTCCTTCATCATATAAGCCATCATAATAAGATGTTCCAGCTACAAATTATAAATTTCCCTCTTCCCCTACATCTAACATCTTTATTTCATTTGTCTAATCAACACAATATATCCAATAATATCCCAGAGGATGCACACAACAATTTACATTAATTAATAAAACAAAACAAAGCAAAATACATTGTTCAGCATTCTATGAGACATAATGAGAAAATTAATGAAAAAGATGGTCATGTGTGAGTAAACTAAACTAATAAGGAACAAGAGGAAGAGGAGACATAAAGTGTTGATAATCACGAAAGGAAATGCTCAAGTTCTTGGTGTCCATTTAAATGAGAAAATTTATACAACTTGCTAATAATATTAATTATACACGTAGGAGGTAGACATGCACACGCTTTTGTGGAATTGTCAGTTCTTGAATGCTATATGCTCTTCGCCATTGTATACAATATGTGTTTCAATAATAGCTTACATGCTATGATGATATGGACTATAAAATACAATATTGTGAGGATTGTCAATGTTTTGTAGATGGAAAGGGATTCATTCTTCTGAAAATTCTATAGTTGAGATCTGATTTGACATAGGGAAGCATTTAAGTATGTGGTGTGAAATAGAAACAACTTAGTTTGACAGCATCAAGTGTCAAGTTTCAATTTCTTTATTGAGAACCACTTGGAAGTCGGCAAAGTTAATAAAGATGTAGGTTCAAGTCCTACAACTTATTAGCATTTAAAACACTCCAAATCATCCTGATTGATGTTAATGACCTTATGTTTTGGCATCTATTAACAACGATAGCTTTTTTTGAAGCTGTTTCCATAGAAAAATTTCATTTCACTTCCACTTCAAGACACCAAACAATTCCTTTAATTAAGAACCTCCATAACAACTTAAGCCATCATTTAAGGAGCCATAAAAAACACCACAAAAAATATATTAATTTCATAACGAAAAATAATTTTTTGCATCCCTTTTTCTCTACACAACCACAGCACTAAGTGCCCAGATAAAATAATAAACACAATAACCTGAATATGCATGAACGTCTTCATCTTCCATCGCAGCCAGCGTACATACACACTCTGAATCGATTATGAAGATTTTTTTTCGCCCATTAAATACTTTCGAGTTTGCTTTAATTGCTAGCAGCTATACGATACACAACCATACACACTCAATTTCTCTTACACTCGAAGTGTTCATTATTTAAATTTTATGACCACATTATTTGACTATATTTCATGAGCTTAACTAGGGAACAAGAGAGAGCGAAAAAAGAGAGCATTAAGAGAACGGCAGGGATTTTTTTTTCACAGAATATTTATTGCTTGGGGGTGATTACCCGTTAAGTATGACGTGAGAATGTTGTGGATGAAAATTTAAGTGGACAAGAAAACTATTAAGTTTTGTGCAATAGATAAAGTTATGGTGGTGTCTTTATGGCTGTTGTTGAAGTTTGAATTTATATAAATTAAGTTGAGAATCGTCTAGTGGGGGTCAGATAAGAGGTTTTTGGTACAGCTAGGGATTTTATACGACAATTGGTCCAAATTTTTTTCAAGCAATCTTGAAATTGGTAATTTGTTCAATAACCAAAATTCAATAAAGTAACAACAATGGCCTTAGTAGTAAAGATATGGTCAACCATAACATAGGTCGAAGGTTCGACTCCTAAGCATGAATTAAAATCAAACATTTCATTAAAATCTCTTTTTTTTACACAAAAATTGATATTTATCCCCCCTACCCCACCAGTGCAGGGGGCACTCTTGAAAAATATTAATGGCTTTTAAAGATAGTCCGAATTGTCATTAAAAAATTATACAATTAACCTTACAAAAACTTCCAATTCAAAAAAAAATATTTTGCTTATGTTGAAGGGGCCACTTGAATAAATTAAGATTTTTATCGTGCGGAGAAGAAAAACAACATCAACGACCGCTACTAAAGTGGAAATAAAAATAAATAAAATTCATTGAATAGCCGAAAATTGGAGAAAATTTTACTGCAGATGTTCTTTATTTTCTAGTGAACTGTAAATAATTTACACGAAAAAAATTCCTTTCCACTAATGTACTTCCTGCATTCTTTTTGCATCTTCACTTTGCAGCTCACATAAATCACATAAGGGATGTTGCTGGGATAGATCACGTAGGTAAGTCATGACTTATGGTACTTTAATTAAAATTCTCTTTAATTTTCTAAGTGGAACTAACGTTATGTTTACTTTTCCTGTTTGCTAATTGGATCCATTAAAGGAATTGGAGCAGGTATGTAGCTTTACTTGTTGTTGAGGCTCTATAAATAACAACATAGAAGCTTCAACAATCTATTAAATATTTACAAACTAAAATCCTCTTAAAATACATCAAAATTTACTAAAATATTCCAATTACTTTGTTTCCATTAATAGGCTACGATGGAGTAAATTTGTAAGTATCTAAAAATACTTTATGTGCCACCCTCTCTTGATACAACACCATACTAAAATCATACACACATAAATTCATAAAATATTCCTTAAATCTTAATTACACGACATTAATGTCACAGCAGGGGGGAAACAACATGATGAGAAAAAGTTTTTGACAAGAATTTCTACTTTCTACTTATTATTCCTTGCCATGATTGAGAATCGCTCTCTATTACCCACCATAAAAGAAAACAACGCATTACTGTCTTAAAATTTCATTTAAAAATTTTTTTTCTCATCATATTGTTATCCCCCTTTTGTGTCGCAATCACAAAATTTACGACTTGACAATCTTCCCATTAATATCTAATGAAAATCGAATATAAAATTTAAATTTTTTCATTAATTTTTCATTTATAGAGTACCAAAGGGACTTGAGGACGTGTCTCGATATCCATATCTATTTGCTGAATTACTAGCCGACGCAGATCGATGGACGGAGGAAGATATAGCAAAATTAGCAGGAAGGAATCTTATACGAGTGTTTCGACAAGTCGAGCAAGTAAGTTTAAATATTAATGCAATGACATAAAAGTGAATAATCAATTGCTTTTGTAACTTTACGTACGATAATTAGGTGAGGGATCAACTAGCAGCTCAGGGAATGTTGCCAATCGATCAAGACATTTCACCTGAAGACATCTTAGGACGATCATATTGTCGATTCAATGGTCCACGAACGTGATGCACAAAAATTAAAATAATTCTAATATAAATCAAATTTTTGGAACTTCCATGCTAAGTGTGGAAGTTAGAAGCTTTTGACAAAAACAAAACACACAAAGAAAATGTTCATCATTTGTCTCAATTTTACTGAGACTTTTTTTTTCAAGCCGAAAAGAGACAAATAACGACGTAATTGGATCTTATTTCCATTTGCGTCCTCGGACTTGCTCTTCTTGTGTTCTCATCGTTTTCGTGAGACAAAAAAAAAGTAATAAAAATAAAATGAAATGAAAATTTTTTATATCTCCACTGGATTTAGAGTAGCATGAAAAAAAATTATAGACATTGTGAGGATTTTATTCTTTGAGTCATGAGGAATATTTGTGACCTTGTGGAGATTTTGGAAGGATTTTGAGGGGGTTTTGGAAGAGAATTTATTGGATTTTATTGAAATTAATAGGCTAGAGTGTCGATTTTGATTAAATTTTGTGGTCTATTTGAGCAGATGTTTGGATAAGAAATACAAAATTTATGTGAAAGGGATGGAAAGTGAAGCCAATGTGCTGTTTTTGAAGTCAAAGCCCCTGCCTTGCTCGGAATTTTTTTTTATCAATTTTCTAGGGGTCAATAGAAACAACACATGACACCAAACCTTAAAAGTTTTGAACGTTTCCTTTGCCTTGCTATACCAACTAGAAGTTAAAAAATTAATCAAATCTAGCTCTACCGACACACAGGAAGCAAAATCAGCCATACCTAGTTTATGATTTAAAATTAAAGCTCTCTTTGTAGAATTTAAGGGGGGTATTTTGAGATTTTTTCATAAAACCCTAGCAAAATAAAGAAATTTCTGTTTAAGTTGGGGGATTTGTCCCCGCACCTGCTTTGTAGTGTGGATTCAAATTGGGCACTGCATGAAGCTTTGCGTCATTTAGGGTTTGTCCTGAAAATTTTGTTTCAGATGCTAGTCATGCCTTGACCCTGATCGTCATTAAGAAACCTTAGTAAACTGAAGTGAGCTTAATGTACTCAATAAGACACATAACAAGTCCAAAATAACACCAAAGTAAGAATATTTTCAATCTGAACCAAAACCTTACATTCTTGGTCGAGTGTTGATCTTAGGATTTCTTAAAATTAAACCCATAGCTTTTGTTGCCATCCACATGCTACACCACTGAGTTGACTATACCATGAATAAAGCCATGATTCAAATGAATTAAGTGGCACATCCTAAAATACCAATAGCCACTTCCTTAAATCCCCCTCAAAAATCCACTCAAAATCCCCACAAAAATTCTAAAATAAATTCTTCAAAACTAAAATCTCTGTTGAAAATTATTGTTTTTATCAGACTACCGTCATTTCGTTTCGGACTTCTTCGAAATTAATTTCGATTTCTTCGATATTAGAGCCGAAAATTCAAATTTCAAAAAACAGTTACATTATGTAAACAATAAATTATTTTAATTAATACCAATTCTGCACAAATCCCAAAGTTCTTCATAAATTATTAATTTTATATTTTTTTTATCCATTCTCAACTTTATTAACAATAAAATTTGAGCAAAATGAGTAAGTGCATGGTAAAATCTGGTTTAACCGTCAAATTTTTTTGAATATTATAACGGTCATAAAACATTTGAATTTTTTCGAATATAAATTTAACGGATGTTATATGAATTGGCGGTAGTCTGGTTTTTATAACTCTGTGACCCAATTACCAAATATTTTTCTTCTAATTATTTTCTTTCGTCTTGCTAAGTTTTTCTCTCACATATTTTCCTCACTTCTAAATTGCTATAAGAATCAACACAAAAGGGGATAATAAGAGGATATAGAAAAAGTTTTTGTTAATTAAAAGCGATTGCATCATGTGAACGAAAATCACGACTGAAGTAGAGGAAGGAAAAGAAGAGGAAATTAAAAATCTATTAGGTCAGATCAAGAAGAAAGAGAGCGAAGGTTGAGAATGTTGTTGTTGTTGTGGCTGTGGCTCGTGTTTTGATGTGTTGTTGGTTGATGGTGATGTTTTTGGGACTTTTTAAGAATTCTTTTAATTAATCAGAAAGACTTTTGACATTTTTACAGAGCTATAATGCAGAATTCTCAAGATATCTGGTTAAAGCTGCTTTCTAGACCTTTAATTCTCATAAAAACAGATAAAATTCATTTAAATTCCAAAAGTCTCATCCAAAATTGATCACCAAAACACCCCAAAAAGTCACCAACATATTAATCACAATCCTTCCAAAAAAATAAGTTAATTAATTGAAATTTATCATCAACTTTTTGCATTCAATCCTCTCCCTTCAGGTGAGCATTTCACAAAATTAATCGCTTTCAATATTTTTAGAATCGAATAAAAAAATAATAATTTTTGTCACAGATTTTTTTTTTTCATGCTGAAAAAAATAACTCAAATTAAAAACCAATAAATTAATTAATTAATTAAAATCGAAATGTGGAATCGTAAACACACATAAATCAAAAAAAAAAGTTGATATCAGAGACTTCACAGTCACACAAAAGTGAATATTTTTCGACCAATCGTGTAAATAAAAGAAAATCATGTTGAAAAAAAATTTATTAAAAATTATTATTTATGTAGAAATGTTTTTTTGGTGCCGTGCATTTTTAAGAGATTGCACAAATATGCAGAAGCAGCATGTCGAATATTTTATATGTTCATTTTTTTATGCTCATTTGTTTAACATGAAAAATAAAGATGAGAGAAAATTTATGAGTTTTGTGCAAATATTTTGTCTTTCAATTTTTTTTTGACAAGGGGAGGGCACATTTTTTTGATAGAAGTTGAGGTTAGGTTTTTAAAATTTTCAATTACTTGTTAGACTTATTTTTTTAAAAAAACTCAAAAGTAAATTGAATGAGTCTTTGATTTTTAGTGCATTTTCCTTTGGAAACAATGCGCTCATATGTCCACTTTGGCTGGCTGGCTGTCAAGAGTGCTCAAAACTGGAAGCACTTAAAGATCTCTGGTTTTTTCCATTCAGGCAGGCGTGAAGTCAAGGGTGGGGGGTTAGGGTTTTTATGAAAAATACTAATCTTTAAAAAAGGGGGGAAGCTCATATAAAAACTTTTTTTGTAGAAAGGAAATTTCTGTCTATGCCCCTGTTTGCAGGTAACGTCGGCTTTTATACTGGTTTTATAAAAATAAATGACCCCCCCCCCCCCCATCCTTTTGAAGCAAAATGTTAAAATATTTAACTTCATAGCTAAAACTACCATCAAATTAGGCATCCGTAAATTCCAGAGCACCCAAAGAAATCCTAATCTTAGTTCCAATATCAAACGCTCCTCCAAAAAATGCCCATCCCTTGACAAATATTTTTTTTTCATAAATTTTAATATTATATCATACATTAATTCCATTCTCATTTTTCACTCACTCTTTATTTTTAAATAACAAAGCAGCAAAAAAAAAGCTTCCAATTCCACAGAGAGATAGCGAGAACAGGAATAAAATATATAAAAAAAAAATATTTTTGTGTATTTTAATAAAAAATATATAAAAAGTGCCATGCAATGAATGAGAACGACATGCCGAAATGAAATTTTAATTTCATAAAATTGATATAAATGATGATAGCGATGGTGCTCATACTCACACTCACGATAAAAATATAATGAATTAATGTGAATTTTTTGTTATAAAATTATTTACTCGTTTGATGCTTAACAACTCCTATTTTTATAACGCAGAATTGAGTGTTTTTCAAAGTGGTTGAATTTTTGTGATTTTTTAAATCAGTTGTGAAGCATATTGAGTTTGTTGAACGAAATTCTTGCATAGCTTTGCTAATTTATTTCTTGTACCGACTAGTGGTATCATTTAAGTGGTTTGGGTAACCTTTGTATTGAACTTGAAGTTTCTCGAAGAACCTTGAAGATTCTTGGAACCCTTTAAAGCCTTCTTAATTGACCAAAGGCTCCATAAAGCTCTATATGTCCCTTAAAGACCACCAAGCACCCTATAGCCTTATAATCAACGTTAAAAAATTTGCCACTTTTAATAGGATTTTATTGCAACTTTATCAGAGCTTTGGGCTTAAATCCTAGACAAAAGAAGTTCTTGGAATGTCACAGAAGGATGCAGTCTTAGGGCGTGTAAGGTCTTAGGGCGTGTCTACACAAGTTCGTAACCATGAAGACCGTTTAGCTAGAGTTTTTGAGTCACAGCGTTTGTTGCTGCATCCACAAGCTCTGCCTCACTCTTTTTAATCAGCATATCCAACCAAAAATCTCATAAAACAGCGCCATGTTCATCATCAATTTTATCAATTTTCAATTTGAGCTTTTTTCATAAATTCACCAGACAAAAAAAAATCTATTTCATCAGATCCATTTCCCCACCCTCTCCACATCTAAAATGAAATAAAGTGTTGATATTAAAAATAAAATCAGTTTTTTTTGCCTACTAACAAAAAAGAGAACTGTGCATGGATGACGACTATATATTATTATAAAAAAAAATCTCGTTCATGAATAAAAGAAATTCATTTTTGTGTTTTGTGCTGGCACTAAAAAAATCGAGAGAAATAAATGAAAAGTAAATATTAGTTGTTACAATGACATAACATTTGAAAACATCATTTATTCTGTGTTGAGCGGAAATAAAGCAGCATGACACAGAAAAAAACGTTAAAATCATCACAATTTTTATTGGTTATTCCCTTCGAGCAAATATTTTATCGAGAATATTTTGTTATGTTTCAAATTTTTTTATATATTATACACATATTTATTATTATTATATTCTCACAGCTCTGCTTGATTCGCGATTGTGTGAATTTGTTGGAATATGAAGAAGATTACAAGGAAAATAATTGGAGATTCTGGGTATTTTGTGGCAGAGTTGATTGTTGAGTGTCTTAGATTTTGGAATGAAATCAAAATTTATAATCTTAATACATTGTGTTATATGAACGGAGGTTTAATTCCTACCAGAGTTCAATCACTCAACTAGTACGTAGAATGTTGTATAAAATCTCAGCTTCTGGAACTATTGAGAAGACATTTTGATTTTTAAATATCACAAAAGCCTGGAACTATCAGAATTGTCCATAAATCAATCTTTACCACCGGATTTTGTTGGAACTTGATATTGAATATTAAGCAGAAAAAAGGAAACTTTTCAAAAACTTGTCTCTAGCGGGAATTGAACCC